TATGTAGCTATAATGAGTTCTGTTTTTTACTTAGTCTTGCTGTTGACCGTTGCTTTTTCAAAGGAGTCCGTCTTGTCGATGATGCGTCTGTCTTTGTGATCTGCAGTAAAGGTTGTGAGGATGATCTAAGGAGAGCAGCTCGTCTGATTGACTCTTTCAGTAAATGCTATGATGGCAATCTCACCTTGGAAAAAACGAGTGACGGTGATGGTTGGGATTTTCTAGGTTGTCCGCTCCAGGTATGTGAAGGGAAGACGGGTGTGGTGTGTGTCCCTCTGATGAAGAACCAATGGGAAAATACTAATGGCAGATTAGTTTTTCAGAACCTGCAGGATTTCTCTTCCTTTACTCATAAACAGCAGAAGGTTGCAGTGATCTACTTTTTTCTTCATAGAGCTAGGACCTTCACGACCATTGAGGGTATGACACTTCCCTTTCTTTTTTCGCTCAAATGGGAATTGTGGAGGAGGGGCTACCCTGATTGCTTCTTCGATGATGCTTTGATGAATTTTTCAAGGAAGTTCGCGGGTACATGGAAGGAATGGATACCGGTGCTTACTAAGTGGGGTCGGTTTTTCGGTTGAAAGTGTTAAAGGAGTTATCCTCGTCTTAGGGGATGAGTGGTTCATTACCTGTTGTGTTGGATATGTTGCTTCGTGGGGTATCCGACTTACTAAGATGTGTTGCTTCGGGGGGTATCTAGCCTACTAAGATGTGTTGCTTGGGGGGTATCTGGCCTATTAAGATTTGGCCTGCGCCAGGGTTAACTGATATTTTTGTTGTTCCGTCAGCAGCAGTATGGGAATAAAGGAAATACTGGAGTTGTGCTATGTTGAGTTAGCCTCTCGTCCTGTTGACTTTTCTTTGGAGTATCTTGGCTTCGATCCAGTTACCTATCTCTTTCTTTCTCTTCTTTTCTTCAATCCTGGTTTGATTCAGATATCGGCAGTTTCTAGAGGTATCGATCCGGTGATTTTTTTTGGGTCCTACTTTTGGCATTCGGTACCGGTTGGATCTCGACAATTTTCGGGATTGTTCTGTTTTTTTATGCATAGTGGCCCTAGATGCATTACTTTACTTTTCGTAGCAATGAATAATTCAGACTTTTTAGTACATGTGGTGGTTTCACGCGGCTTACTTGGCTACTAAGACGTTTTCTTCGACGGACGTGGTTCTTATGACTCTTTCTCACTAGACTATATATCCGCGTCCATTGATGTCTACTGTACCGACTTAACTGACCCCTGATGATCCTGGTTGGCGGCCAGGTGAAACCAGTAGGGTCCTACGCCAGTGTCGAGCTTCATTCATATTTTTTCGTAATTAAGTCGCGTTCAGGACATCACGTGCCTTATCTTCTTCTTCTTCCTCTCCTTTGTCTAGTCCTTTTCTTTTTCGTTGTCTTCCATCCCCTTTTCTCTAATTCTGTCCTCGCTTTGTTGTCTGTCTATTTGCTACTTGGCACTTTTGGGTGTGACGAAGCATATTGGAGTGATTTGTATTGCACGTTACCTAGCCCACGTGACGGAACGTGAGCAACGTCCATGCTCACAGCAGATGCAACAGACGAAAAATATGGTGGTGTATCTTCCCTGGTTCTAACGAAAGATTCATTCTCATTTTACACGTTTGCTTAATAGTGGAGGGAGGCCCAGACTGCATGCATTTGGATGCTATTTAGACCTCATACATTCATAATGTTGGACTCGTTTGCACCTGGGTCAAAAAGATAACAAATGCATGTGGTTTTGTGCAGCGGAGTGAGGCCTACCTACCACCATTCCTAAAGCTTGTACAGGGGACCCCGACGAATATAGCTTAGCTCTACCTTAGTTCTACCTTCCCGTCTTTCACCCCCCTCTTTTATTAAATCCTTCAATTAGACTACTGTTAACGACTAGTTTGTTAGATCTGTAGGACTGGCTGAAAAATTCGTTAGCATATATAGGCTAGACATGGTTGCTACTGTAGGAATAGATTAAGCTGAGAAACACAGAAGCTAAACCAGCTGATGCTGCCGGGATAACTCCGGGTTGAATTGTGAGGTCCCCGGCCTCCTATGCGAATGTGATTTGGAATATAATGCAACGTGCCTTAAAAAAAAAAAAAAAAAAAAAGAATATAGCTTAGCTTTGTTGTCTCCCTCCAGCCATCAGAGGGAATGCATCTTGCGCCCTCCTTCCCGGGAGGCCCTGTACGCCTGGTTTTCCTCCTCCTTTTTTGTTTCTTTACCCCAGGTGGCGTGCCTGACGAATTGAGCTGCGCCACTAGATCTGCTGTGAGGTATCATAAGTGGGCGGCCCTAAGTATTGCACACTCATTTTATCCT